CAATGGTGATGACATCATGATTGAAAGTTTATTGTCCTTGCTCTCTCTGCTGATAAATAATCACAACTGCACCACTACATGTCAGAAAGGAATGACACATCACATAAGCCTCGTAGAATGAACACAGCGACAAACTTTCAATTGACGTCTGCCATATTGGATCTGCCTTCTTACACACTTTCGATTCAGAATGTGTGAAAATAGTTCTTCACTGAAACAGGGAAATTCCTCTCATTTTGACGATTAACCTAAATTTGACTTCAATAGTAGTCAACTAAGTGTTCATTATTCAATATTTTTGAAGCACTTTGTATTGAAAGAAAATCAAAACATTAGTTCCTTTTATTATTTTGGACTATTTTCTTCTTCTAAAAATAGAAATAGGTACACGAGAGGGAAGTACTTTCAAAACAGCTGAGGAGACAAAACAAACTCGCTCGGGAAGGGAGCGAATCACAACTTATAAAAACTTTTCAGATTTCTGTCAAATAATTTTCAAATGACATTTATTGGATACTGGCAAGCACAACAATTTTCCAAACAATGACGACCATGCTCCCACAAATGCAACACTTTGGGGAAGGGAGGGGGACGGAGTAAAGATGTCGACTAAGGGCATATAAATCGATTAGTTAAGGCTTCTGCTTTATTTCATTCAGTAAAATGGAGCTCAATTTAACGGTTATACTTTACCAAATTGTTCAAGAAGACACAGTAGCGTTACAAAAAGCGAAAGTATTTGTGTTGTTCTGATTTACCATCTGGGTCATGTGATGATAATGATGTCTGTGACTAATTCCGATAATGCGTGCTTGAGACACCGGCTGCTCTGGGTGGGTATGTGGCAGAAAATGATCGATGTTCGGCACTCCGTTACGTTTCCTTGTATATTATTATTTTCAAGTATTACATAAACATTTACTGTTTCCTAGAGTTAATCCATTGGCAGACCTTTCGTAAACTGCTGATATTATAGACAAAAAAGGTTGGCGTGTTCAATTATTGCGCTTCCTTTCCGCACAGCCCTATTTTCTCTGATTTCTCGAAGAAGGATCAGATTGAAGCAGAGGGCTCATAGGCGCGCTCGTTCGCGCGCTAAACACACACACACACACACACACACACACACACACATCTACATACACACATACATACATACACACACACAGACACACACACAACAAAATACATACATATTCATTATGAGTCTCATATGCACACACGCGCACGCACGCATACACACACACGCACACTCACACACACACATACACACCCACACACACTCACTCACACACACACACACACACACACACACACATACATACATACACACACACACAGAGAGAGATCTACATACACACACACACAACAAAATACATACATATTCATTATGAGTCTCATATGCACACACGCGCACGCACGCATACACACACACGCACACTCACACACACACATACACACCCACACACACTCACTCACACACACACACACACACACACACACACATACATACATACACACACACACAGAGAGAGATCTACATACACACACACACAACAAAATACATACATATTCATTATGAGTCTCATATGCACACACGCGCACGCACGCATACACACACACGCACACTCACACACACACACACATACACACCCACACACACTCACTCACACACACACA